GAGAGAGAGAGGGAGATAGATAGATAGATAGATAGATAGATAGATAGATAGATAGATAGATAGATAGATAGATAGATAGATAGATAGATAGATATAATTTCCAATCTTTATCATTTCCAATGTACTTGCAATTAGCCCTGGGGCATACATAAGAAATACGCTCACGTCATCACAGTGTGCAGTCCCACAGGGACCCCGGCAATCAGGAACAATAACGCAGGTTCATATCAATCTCATCCGGAACACTCTCCACGCACAGACATGCCGGGCTGTGTAAACGATGTGTGTATCCCATAAACTCACCTCGGAAAACGTGTGGCAAAAAGAATCTGCTACTGAGAAACTTATATTGCGCGCAAAGCCCCATCCATAGTATTATTACTAGTGAGTGCTGATTCGTATGATGCACGTTTTGAAAGGTGCCCAAGTTTGTATCAGCTCCAACACGAAAAAGAAAACATTCTAAGTTGATGCTCTTAATTTTTTTCACACAAATGAATCATCAAGAGTGATTCAGCTCTGTGACAAAGGAGCTTCCAGCCTTTATTCGTGTTTTATAGCAGTGGAATGTTGTCGTTTTTATATAATTGTGTAGCATGTGTAACGTTGTTGTTTTGAAATTCAGGAAAACTAGTTGCTTTTGCTGTCACTTTTGAAACTTATGGATATAGTAACAATAAAGTATCAAGTATCGAGTAACAATGCAGCGTAACCAGGAGTTGGACAACTGATGTGATAATGCTTTTGATTTTAGATATTTTCTCACTGTATCACATGTAAGTGTCTTTTGTAAGTGATGTATGTATTCATTGTAATAAAGAAATAAAAAAAGCAATGAAGCTTCCACAAGCATCATGAGAAGCTAATCTAAACAGAACGGAAAGACCTGACGAAAAAGAAAACGTTCTGAATTGATGATCTTAATTCTTTCACATAAATGAATCATCAAGAGAGGAATATTTGTGATTCAGCTCGGTGACAATGCAGCTTTGACAAACCTCGGCCATCATCAAAAGATAATCCCATTCTAAGACATTAACAACCTATCCGATAATGCTATTGTGTATTTGTTACCTAATGGATCACCTTTACTTTCATGTAAAGTCAACTCTCAAAGACTCATTATTACACAGCTATATCTTTCTGAAACTAAGCAATTTAATAACTGATTTATAGTTCTGTATTAATCTATAATATCTTAATAGTTAAACTCTGTTTTCTTGTTACCTGGACGATACCCATGTTTTGTTTTGTGATGTAATTTTTATTTTATGTCTAGTGGTGACGTGAATATAAGCATATTGCCTGACTGCGTCACCACTATGTATTGTACTGCCTGCACGTTGAAATAAAAAAAAGCTAATGTAAACGGAACGGAAAGACCTGACGTGCTCAATGTCAAAGCCAGCCGCCCTCGTGATGAGCGGCATTAGCGCGGAGAGATGGCGGATCGGCGCTTGGTTAGTCGCAAGCCTCCGTATCGCTTCTCATCGGGGAAATGCCGCACGCGCCGCTTCCGAGGTCTCAGATATTCCTGGAATACACATCTAATGCAGTTTTTAAGGCTTGTGAACCCGATTTTTCAATATTCTAGTCGCTTATCTACATATTGAGTTGCAACAACACTCTCCAAATATATATTGACCCTCATGGAGCAAAAATACCCGAAATTCTGAACGAAAACGGTTACTGGAAGGGCCCTTGAAGGGTACCACCCATGAAATAAAGGACTCATCTTGTGGCTTGTTTCCTCAGTTTTAAATGCCCAGAGGATGAAATACTGATTTAAATGTGCCAATGTGAAGCAGTATGTGTCAATGTTGCCTTGTTCAGAATATTTCCGCACGCGCCGCTTCCGAGGGCTCAGCTATTCCTGGAAAACACTTAACTGGAGTGACTTCCCGGAGCATGTGGTGACGTCATCGCACGCCTGCTACGCAGCCATTCCTGGAATACACATCTAATGCAGTTTTTAGGGCTTGGGAACCCGATTTTTCAAAGTCAATATTCTAGTCATTTATCTACATATTGAGTTGAAATAACACTATCCAAATGTATAGTGACCCGCATGGAGCAAGCATAACCCAAAATTCTGACGGAAAATGGTTACTGGAAGGGCCCTTGGCTGATTTTAAGGGTGCCACCCATAAAATAAATTACTCATCTTGTGGCTTGTTTCTGCAGTTTTAAAAGCCCAGAGTATGAAATGCTGATTGAAATGTGCCAATGTGAAGCAGTACGTGTCAATGTCACAAAGATTGCCTTGTTCAGAATATTTCCGCACGCGCCGCTTCCGAGGGCTCAGCTATTCCTGGAAAACACTTAACTGGAGTGACTTCCCGGAGCATGTGGTGACGTCATCGTCACGCCTGCTACGTCAGTATTTCCGGGAAGGGGGGTGTGAGCTCAGTTCCGTTTGGATTAGCTTTTGATGATAGCCGCGAGGCTTGAGAGGGCTGCACTGTCACTGAACAGAATGATAAATATCCCGCTACTGCGTTTCAAACTTTGGGCAATAAAAATTGCAGAGACAAGTCCCAAGATGAGCCCCTTATTTGTTTGTTTGTTTGTTTGTTTATCTATTTATCCAGGAAAACACATGTCGTCTGATGGCGATTTTCAAAGGTTCCTGGGGGGAAAACCCCAAACAAAATTCATTAACAAAATAAACTCAAAATTAACAAAGGTATCAAATAACGCATTTTTTCTGGGTGGTGCCATAAAAATCATCTCTTTATCCTTCCAGTAAACATTTGTCGTCACAATTTTGGGAATTTTTGCTTCTTGCATGCCTATATACGAGTACATTGGGATAGTGCTGTGTCAACTCCGTATGTATATAAGTGACTAGAATACTGAATTTGAAAAATCTGGTTTCCAAACCGTAAAAACTGCACTGGATGCCTTTAAAGCCCGCTGTTCGCTCCTGCAGCCCGGAGCGCGTTATGTGAGTATAAATGTCAGAGGTGACGCGTGGAACGTGCGTGTTTAACTTCGGGGCTGTAGCCATGCAGAGATTTGATAGCCTCATGTGCAGGCTCCGGGGCGGGTGGGAATTTTAATACAGCGTTTTGAAGAGTTTTTAACGCATTCGTTTAATAGAAAGTTCATTGCAAATACATGCCCGAGGGCTAATTGCAGATACAAACAACATAAGAAAGAAAATACAGTGGTATGTGAGACTATATCTACGTCCGTAACATTATACTATATTCTACAACATACATTCTTTTTAGGCAATGGAAGGCGAACTTAATAGCCGGCCATTCTACAACCAGCCGCGAGAGAAGGTTCCATTCCCTTTTCGCTTTTTTTCGTGCCGAACGGGAGCAGGCTCCGTGGGCGGAATGGAACCCTCTCTCGGCGGCTGGTTGTAGCATGGCCGGCTATTAAGTCGATCGGTGTAATATAGCCAGCTGCCGCCGCGCCGCGTGCCTGCGAAGCTGGTGTGCTACGCCGAAGGATGGTTATACCGGCTATACAGATACAGATACAGATATTAAAATAACGCGTTAAAAACTCTTCAAAACGCCCTCCCGCCCCGGAGCCTGTAATCTCCAAGCAGATCTTTTGGTGGCCAAAAAAGATAGTATCCAACACGCCGACAGTATCCAACCGGCCGGATGGGCCGGCTGTCAGAAAAAAACGGGGCATAGAAAAAGGTCACAATCTTCCCATTCAACCTCTGCTTGGAGAGTGGGACTACTAGGAGCCTGCACAGGAGACTAAGCAGCAGAGATCACCAAATTCATGCTCCGTTTCCATATCCGTCGGGAGCCCGATACGTAACCAATTTACCCGCCGTTAAGTGGTTGCTACCGGCTCGTGAGTCTCGTGACAAAAGTGGGGGTACTGCAGCTGTGACCGGAATATTTACCGTCTGTGCTGAACTAAACACTCCGCCGTGCGGCCCGCTCGTCCTTCCCAGCGACCGCGCGGTGTTACAGGCCGACTAATACCCGGCCTGATTGGATTCCACGCCAAATAAGGTCGCGACCCCTCAAGGTTGTAGCAAGCATCTCTACTGGGACAAATGAAACTGTACGAGCTCGGTTAGTTCATTCGGTGAGCGCCAAGGGCCTAGGAGGATGGAGAGGAGGAGGACACGGTCACCTTCATCATTCGGGAGGCTGTAACCATGGTGATAGGATAGGAGGGAACCAGCAGATCCGCATCTTCTGTCTACTCTTCGGTACCAGTATAATGGGGTTCATCAGAGTTTACGGTGGGACCTACCAGGTCTAGTTGAATCGCGCCGCGGGTGAGTTTAACTGCAGTGTGTGAGTGTAGGGGAGTACCGTGAACAGACTTTTTGTGACGGGGTTGGAATGCTGAGTTTACGAACGGCTGTCAGTTCTGGTTGTAACGCGGATGAATCAGTGAAGTGGAGTGAAGCACCATGACCAGAACGTGCGGCAGCGCCCAAGTCGTGTGGGCAGTCCTGTGGACATCTATATACGGAGCCGCCGTTAGCGCGTTCTCCTGTCCCTCCGTTTACATTCCCGCCAGAACTATCGTCATCGAGGGCGCCTCCTGCAGCTTCTGGGTCAAAGAGGGGCGCTGGCGCTCCGAGGAAGGCCGAACTCTGGCCTTGTACAAGCAGAGGTGCAACTCCAAGACTCCGTACGTGGTGTCCGTGTCCTCTCCCGCGGAGAACATTTTCGCGTGGACCGAGGACTCGTACTGGTACCTCGGCAGGCGGATCCGCCTGAAGGACTGCGAGCAGCACTACAGGGCGTCCGTGGAGGAGTTTATTCTCAGGCAGAAGGGCGCGAGTAAGAAAGTCATGCTGCAGTACTTCATCAAGGACCGTCTGGAGAAGAAGGTAACTGTTTCTGTATCTGTATCAGTATAGCCGATATAATTGAGGATTAGGCAAATTGTACTTACCATGAAGGATAATCCCAATTATACCTCACACGAACTATTTGGGTATATCATTTACCTTATGCAGTATTTCCTATGCTTATCGCTAGGTGGCGCACGTGTACAAAGCTTTAATCGCAAAGCATCACGGGATATCATGACGTAATGACAATGTTCGCCGCCATTTGACGACGTGCGAGAAAGAGTCTGTGCTGTTCACCATGGGTGGGCATTTTCAGCTACTTGGAAGCTGAAGAACAGCAAGG